AGGGGTATTGGTTTTCGGGGATCCTTACTTGAGGACGTAAGCCTACTTGGAGGTTCATGGGATTTTGTGCACCCTTTCAACGCTGAAGAGTGAGTAGGAGAAATGAAATCTTTCCTTAAGGGGTATACTTGGGAACAGGGATGAACAAGCTAAATATGGAGGATGGAATAGTGATACCAATATGAGATTTTTTGTTTTACAGTGTGAGAGTTTCTTCCAGGAAGCTCGCAACGAAGTCGCATTGTTCATTAGCATCGTGATAAGACCCGAACATACTTGCCAACATTTCTAAGGAGTCATGGACGCTCAACTTAGACTCCAGATAGACGAAGATGAGTTCATGAAGGTTAACCCGACACTTCCAGCCTTGGACCCTTTGCCCCAAAAATTCTGCAACTGCTGGACCTCACCGCCCTTCAGTTCTTGGATTTCTGGCAAAGCCCATCATGATCTGACTGGGATCCCATGAAAGCAAAAGTCGGCTGTAAAGCAAGAAGCCCGGGTTAGCCTATAGGATCCTGAATATAAGACTGGTTAAATTAAATAAGACGAAGACTCTGAGGCCTAACCCCCTGAAAGGATCCAAAAAAGTAGATCCCTACTGTAACGGTGGTTCCTAAAAACTACCCTTCAGTAGTATAGGGCACCAACATGAGGGAACCCTGAGGCCCAAACCCTGAACCCTAAACCCAAAACCCCAAACCCAAACCAAAAGGCAAGTGTGACCAGAAGCCTCAGATCCCGACCTCGCAAGATTTCGCGGAGCATACTGCCCCCCCTCCTCGGGAACGGTTGGATAGCACTTACTATTTTATGGACACATATACATATATGTGTGTGATGCTTTATATGTCACGTGTGTATGTATATACATATATATATATACATATATATATATATATATATATGTATACATGTGTGTATGTACGTATGTATGCATGCATGAATGTATAGAGAGCAAGAGAGAGAGAGAGAGAGAGAGAGAGAGAGAGAGAGAGAGAGCAAGAGAGTCATTAAGATGATATCCAATAAAGGCTGTGATAGTACAGCCGGTACTGCTCCGGCACAAGGCCGTAAGCAAACGATCGACCATAGGGGCTTTAACAGCGTCGACAACATTTAAGGATTCAGGGTTTAGGAACGGTAAGGGTTCAGGGTTGAGGGTTTCGGTGAATGTTCTATACAGTATACATACGTTGGGGATGTGCGTTTTTCAAATATCGGTTTGGGGTTTAGGGTTTAGGGGGAATTGCAATTTCTTCAAACCTCAAAATTGGCCGCATACCCACGCAGTCTGACCCTCGAAGTCCGGTTTTGCGTATTGAGTTATTGCTTTTGAGCCCTAGTCATAAGTTTGTGCATCATTTAATTCCAGTTCTGAGGCAATGATTACAGAGGTCTGAGAAACTCTTGGTGAAATCCCCCCCTATGGGCGTTTCCGAAACTAGGGGTACCTCATAGCAAGGATCCTACTAATTAGGGTACTATATTAGGGTCCCCTATTTTCGGAAACCCCCATTTATGCCGCCGTGCTATGTATTGGCAGGTGCCTTGCGGGAATCTGTGGCACAGCCGACACTCCTGCCCAGAGCTCAGGGGTTCGGCTCGGGATGCTGAATGCGCAGTGCTGCTTTGCGAAGTAGAGTAAGATGTTGGGACATGTATGTACCAAAAGTGCGTTGGTAATAAAGGAGTGCTAGTACGAGTTACTCTGACCTCTTTACTCATCGGCTTTGTTCTGCAGGGTTTGTAACCTGAGTTCCCTAAAACTGAAGCTCTGAATCCTGAATCGTTTTTCGCCTTCTACGCCAAATTCCAAAAGCCCAACAAAGAGCTCTTACTAAGCAAGCCGAGTTACAAACCCACCAGAAACACGCCCAAAAAGCCCTCACCCGTTAATGCCCTTTTATGTCCCTCTTCAAAGCGCTCTAAAGCCGATCTACAATCCACTGCAAAATGCTTTTCTAAAGCCTTTCACACTGATACTTCTTCGATTCTAGGCCTCTCTAAATCCTAAGCCCGGGCTTGCTGAGCGGAGAGGCCTTGGAGGAGGCGCAGCGACGGCAGGCACGCCAATCGGGGACTCAGCGCACGGGACTTTAGTTTCGACTAGGGTGCAGGGGTCAAAATATGTGGGGAATCCTGACGCTAATGGCTTTGGTTCTATACAGGGTTATATATAATGTGTGATGATAAGCGATAGAGGCTCATGAAACAAATCAACGCATTATTCAACATACGTGCAGGTCGGGATAGAACATGTAAGAGCCGTAGTCATATAGCTGTCATAGCCATAGAATACTAACAACACACGGTGACGGATTGTAGTCTTACAAAACATGCGGCTGAGGCTGCTTTTAAGGCTGTAGCAAGGGAAGCCCAGACTCCAACACATGTTAATGCAGGAACACCCCATAAACTAACTGTTACTTGTCCTGTTACTCTCGCTATCACAATCACTGTTTCTTGCTGTTACTGTTACTACGACGACTATTATTACCTTTGCTGTTCCTGTTTTATTTACACTCGCTGCTTGCTATTTCCAATTTACTGTTTTACTATTACTACTATCATCATTTCTGCGAGAGGAGCGCGAGGATGAGTTAAGGTAGTGGAATCCAAGGCTTCTCGCTAGGAAGTAGCATGAGCCCAATCCTTAGTTCGGTCGAAAGTGCTTTCGATAGCCTGGCCTGCGGAAGTATTTATAGTTTTCCGTAATGTAGGAATCCTGATTAAGAAACCCTGGCCCTACAACCCCCAAATAGAGGATTCATATTAAGAACCCTAACAAGGACCCAAGGTTTCTTAATCAGGTTCCTAGATTAGGTTCCTTAAACGTGTTCGAAGTGAACTCTGGCGGAGTGGGTGAAGTCAACAATGTGCAGCCCACAGATTACGACTGCGACTGGAATCTCGGCATCATCTGGTGCGACACCTTCAAGTTGGGCAGCTACGCATCGAGTCCCTCGCGAAGAGGAACATGTACTCATGACAGGTGGGTGGGTCAGCTTGTCGGCAGTTGCTCAGGCCACGGGTTGTTCCACAGAAGAGGCCAAGCAGGCCTTCGAGCGAGAACTCTGAGACCAGCCACAACCGAGTTTCACCATGCACGCAGCTGAAGAGATGAGAATTCACAAAATCCGTCTTCCTCTCGGCAACCTCCTCAGGACTTATCGAGGGTGAAGTCTTTGACCCGTCAGTGTGCATATTCATCCCCACTTGGAAGGGCAGGGGACTTAGTAAGTAGGTTATAACTAGAGTTATAAGTACCCTAAATGGAGTTACCCTAATTATAACCCTACTTATAACCTACTTACTAAGTCCCCTGCCCCGCCAAGTAAGCCCTAAACCCTAAACCCCATATAGATCCGTTTAAGGAACCCTATAGATCCATTTAAGGAGCCCTTTAAGAACCCTTACTAAGTCCCCTGCCCTTCCAAGCAGAGCCAAAAGCCTCAACCATCAGCTATAACTCCGAGCAGCTGAACCTTTGGTCTCCTTAGGGGTACAGGGTTAACGGTTTAGGGTTAAGGGTTTAGGGTTCAGGGTTTAGGGTTTGGAATTAGGGTTGGGGGTTTAGGGTTTGGGGTTTAAGGTTAAGAGTTATTTTTGTTCATACGGTTGATAATATAAATCCTGCATTACCCACAATAAGGAATATGCCACAACTCCCATAGTTTAGGGTCATTAAGGTAATGCAGGATTTATACCATCAACCATATAAACCCAAGAGAATATTACACATATTATTTTTATTATGGTTCTCAGGGGGGGTTGGGAACATTGACTCCCAAACCCCGAGCACCGGGGATGAAGCCAGGTCCATGGATGGAGGGAAACCGTACCAAACAACCTTGAAAACCCAAAACTCCTAAACCCTAAAGACCCCAATCATCGCACGGAAACAGATCGAAACAACATCTTTTGCCTTATTCCCGAGCAAAGAATGAGCCGTACGTCTTCCGTACATGTGAGCTTTTGGGTTTAGGGTTTATTGTTGGGTCCTTATAAGAAGGATTCTACTAAATAGGGTGCTATATTAGCGTCCCCTATATTCGGAAACTTCCGTATGTGTCTTCCGTCTGGGGTGGTACTAGCGAACAGATAAGATTGAAAGATAGCTGAAGGTGTCGTGAGCCGCGAAGATCGCGAAAGTAGTTTCGGCGTCTGAATGCTTCGTTATACAGCATTCCTGTGAAGCCACTATGCTTCAAAACCCGATGTTCATTATCAAGGCCCCCTTTTTTTGGATTGATGCGCTACAGGATTTTATTGATTTTTTTGAAAGGCTCTACGGCATTACAGTGCTCTTATTCAGACTCTGAGTTACTGAAAGCAGGTCTTACCATGAGATAAGTGACCGCAGTTTAAACCACGTGGTGGATTCATCCTCAGTTCCCCGGGTGCTGGATTCTGCACTCTGAACACCCACCTTCATTTCGGAGTTTCCGCACATAGGGGACCCTTCACATAATACCCAAATAGTATGACCCTTACTATAAGGACATCGAAATACGCTACCCCTAATTTTCGGATACTCCCATTTGGTAGTAAGGGTTTAGGGCGCTGAACCTCAACTCCCAATCTAAAGCCTGCAAGCCAGAACCCTCATAGACCCCTATCTAGGTTCCTGAGTAGTATATACCCTTTTGCCCTGTTCATTTTAGGGTCCCCGTACTAAAACCGAATAGTAAGGCAAAAACGAGTACCCTTATTATAAAGGAGCTACTCAGGAACCTAGCTTTTCAACATTTTCTAGATGGGAGTTTCCGAAAATAGGGGACCCTAATATAGGACCCCAAAGAGTAGGAGCCTTACTATAAGGACCCCCAACTATGGCACCCCTAATTTTCGGAAACTCGCGAATACCTATCGTAGAACTCCGAAGGCCTCAGTATCCTGCCCGAAACCAGCACACCCTCCTGGAACCGCATGAGCTCTTAAAGAACCGTTTAGGGAATCTTTGTTTAGGGTTTAGCGTTTAGGGTGAAGGGGTGCTTATGAATCCCGTGGAGAATTTGAAGAGCCCTTATCGAACCTTGAACGAGCAGGTGTTGAAGCCGATTCTGCGGCTAGACACGCCGACCGTCCCCGAGAAGGTGGGCGAAACTGATCAAGAAACTACAGATACAAGCGCCGCCTTTAAGGCTGCATACGTCTTCCAAAGGGTTTTATGCAGGGTTATGGAGAGTCTTTGGGAAACTGTCCGCCGAAAAAACAGGCGCCTAAGTTTCAGAGACAATGTCGTGGTGCCAGGTGCAGACCACACCGGAGCTGGTCGCCTATGGCCTCCAGCTGGCGCCGCCAGGCCTTCGGGGCTTTGGGGTTTCGGATTCAGGGCTACAATTGGATTCAGGTTTTAGAAGGGTTCAGGACTTCATAATTTAGGTAGGGGTTGGGGAGAAGTTTTTAATTTAGGTCGTATATCCGGCCATGTGTCCAACAAAAATCACCTCCAAAGACGAGTTTCAAGTGCCAAACCCCGATTACAGTGACGGGTTCAAAGCCGCAGACCTTGACTAGGTTCCTGAGTAGTACCCTTTTGCACTTTTCATTTTAGACTCCTCTTATTAAAACCGAATAGTAGGAAAGAGGGTACCCTTATCCTAAAGGGGCTAATGCCATTGAGCAGAAGTTCATCCTGATACCAGGGAAGGTGGTCTTCACAGTAAAACCACCGCCCCCACAAGAGAGCGAACCTTCGGGAACCAAGGCTCCCCGATGGAAGAGGAAGGCCCGCATGGTCATTTGCGGGAATATGGCTGGGCAGTGCCACAACTCCCAGGACCTTTACGCTGCAGGAGCGTGTGTGGAAGCTCTTCGGCTGGCGCTGTCGTTAGCAGCAGCTATGGGGTGGGTGGCCGGAGCGACGGACGTATCGGCCGCCTTTCTACAAGCACTTTGGCCCGACAACCGACCCAGCTACGGGGTCATTCCTCCGAAGGTTCTTGTCCAAGCCAACTTGGTGCCGAGCGATGCGGTGTTCGTTGTTCATCGAGCAGGATATACTTGAGGGGTTAAACTTGAGCAAGACAAGCAAGACCTGGACGTTGCAAAACCTAATTGTAGAGGTTTGTATAGGTATTGCAGGGTTACAGCAGTGGGTTTCCGCCAAGGACCCAGATGCTCACCCCACAGAATGTACTTCTGCTCGGTCACCCAGCAATAGTATCCCAAAATACAGGGGCCAGAATAATTACCGATACTATCTTGTGGGCTCCTGAAAATATTTATAGTATAATGGGCCCCAAAACCCTATTCTGATTAGTAAGGCCCCTATATTCTTTTTGTCTTGGGTGTACCCAGCAAGGCTGAACACAAGAAGAACCACAAATTTCAAATTTTAGGCCGCTTTCGATGGTGCAGGCCGACCCAATACGCCAGCGTGCCTCTCCACACGGGTAGTCCTCTAAGTTAGGGTTTTTGCCGTGTCTGATTCCCCGTGTGTGATATCGTTGGTGCAGCCGGCAACCTAAGCCCTGCCCCGAAAGCCCACGAAAACCCTTCGCACAACCCTCAAAAGCCCTCATGAAATCCGTCTCGAACTTCCTGGAAGCTAAAACCCTAAACCCTCAACCGTGCTTTAGGGTTTAGGGGTTTAGGGTTTAGGGGCCCTTCTCAATCCCCCCCCAAAGCCCGAGGCCAAAGCCGCAAACCCTGAAGCTCAAACCACAAACCCTGATTCAACCCTGGACCCTAAGAGAACTGCCCACCTAAATGCCAAACTGTAACCCGAAACCCCAAGCTCTAAACCCTAAGCCCAAACCTTAAACCGCAAACTCCAAACTCTAAACCCGAAGCCCCAAACTCTAACCCCTAAACCCCAAACTCTAATCCGTAATCCTCACAGTCTAAACCCCTAAGGCCTACATGCAGTGCGCCAAACCCACGCAGGCTCCGAGGTGCCAGTGGCAGTGGTCAGCAGCGACTTCAACAAGAACTCCGCCAGGTGGGCGCCAGAAACACACTCGGTTCCCCAGCAAGGAAAATGGCTAATGTAGGACCCCTGAACCCTAAACCCGAAACCCCTAAACCTAAACCCCTAAACCCTAAACCTAAACCCTAAACCTAAACCCCTAAACCCCCAAAACGCTAAATCATAGGGACCCTTTTGGCCCCCCTAATGTAGGGACCTGCTTAAGAAACTCTGGGTCCCTATTGGGGGGGGGGTTCCTTATAAGGCCTTTAATGATTAGACTAGGGGTTGCGGAGCTTCTACACTTCGAACACTTTTCAGGAACCCAATGTAGGAACCTGATTAAGAAACCTTGGGTCCTTATTAGGGTTCTTAATATGAATCCTAGTATATTGGGGTTCAAAGGGCCAGGGTTTCTTCATCAGGTTCCTACGTTACCCTTACCCAGAGAATCTAATATCCCTGAATTAAGGAATATTGCTCAAATCATGTTCGGGATCCTACGAAAATTTGAGGTATGTTCCTTAATTACCGGATGTTGGAGTCTCTGGATGTAATCAAAGGGCTACTGAGGAACCAGGAATATTGCTCAAATCATGTTCGGGATCCTACGAAAATTTGAGGTATGTTCCTTAATTACCGGATGTTGGAGTCTCTGGATGTAATCAAAGGGCTACTGAGGAACCTAGAAAAAGGGGGTTTAGTTTAGTTTGGTTGAGGGTTCAGGGTTTAGTTTGTCTCCTACCCTGGAAACCAGGTCCCTGAGCAATATCAGGCCAAGTAGCAGTTTTCTTCGCGGTTTTCGGTTAAGATCATTCTTGTACGGTGGTAGGGCTTCTAGTTTCCCCAGTGGTGTTCTCTTACCACGTTTACTGGGGTCTGCTTACGAAAACTGATTAACCGGCAAAAGGGGACCTTTGTTGTTAGTGTGACACTGGGGAACCTAAAGTGAAGTGTCCAAAGAAGCAGACAGGGTGTAGCGTGGACTTATGTTAGGACTTTGTTACTTTTTTTGTTTCGCGTTTGGTTTGGAGCTTCACATGTGGACTTTAGTTTGGAGTTTAGGGATTGGTCTAGGTCAGGCTTTACACGTTTGTGGCACGAGCGTGTTTCCGACTTTAGGTCTTACTTTGAACTCCCAGAACCAACATTTTGTTGTAGAATCCTTTGAAATTACATATTTGGTTAGGGTTTACAACAAGAAGTTGCCGAACACGTAGGCCACGGGAGTTGAAGGTAGTTTTAGATTTTTATGCTAGGTTCAGGATTTAGGAGGGCCTTTATTGTTGTTATCCTGGGGTTTGTTGAAGGATAGCAGGAAAAAGGGTACCCTTCTTATGAAGGGGCCCCTGTGCTGCCGTCAACAGTTTATGTGTAGGTGCCCATAGACTCCGCAACCCTTCACTGGAGGAATATACATGAAATCATGGGGGATCCTTCTTATGCTTCAATCCAGGGGTATTAGAGTTTCAAAGTCCTGCGTCCTTCAAGCAACTGGGCTCAGAATTCAGGGTTTAGGTTTCAGGGTTCAGAGACCGAGCTTCAGGATGAGTTGTCAACTGCTAGAGCAAGTCCTAAGTGCCCAAAGCCCTAGGTGAGTTTCAGAAGGTTCTGGGTCCCTCACGTAAGATAACCGGGTTAAACTTTACATGTTTTACGGATCTACAATTACATGTTCCAAAACCCTGCAACGTTCTTATCCAACCCCATAGTGCCATTATACCCATGACAAAACGCATACCCTAAACCTTACACCCGACAGCCTAAACCCTAAACCCTATAAGTTCCTTTAAAGGACCCAGTTGTCGTGCAGGCTGCTCATTGTCATACCAGGACCAGGCTCGGGCTGGGTTTCGAAGTTAGTCTCCGTACTACCTCGTCGTAGTCGTCGTAGTCGTTGTCGTCCGTCGTCGCCGTTGTAGTAGCAGTAGCAGTAGCAGTGGCAGGAGCAGGAGCAGGCTTTCCGAACAGGTCCGGCCCTGCACAGCGCTGTCTTCATGCTGCGTCGCGCAGATTCGAGCGTGCAACGAGATGCTGACACAGACGTAGCGCACGCAATACCTTGCCAGCCACAGCAAGACATGCGGCTCAGTCCTGGCGCCGAAGTGCACAGAGGGCTTCACTACGTAGTCAGGCATTCCACAGCGGCAGATGGGGGCACACAGGCTATGCATCTGGCGTCAGGTGCCTCTGTATTCCTCTTACATCTGTCAAAGTTCCTTAGAGACAGTCATTGCTGACATGGTCGCCCGAGCACGAGCCGGCAAACAGCAACAGGTTACAGCAGCAGGAGCCTGCGACCTGAGCTCCGACCTCGCCTACTGCGCGTTTTTGCCTGTCGCCGTGCCTGCACACGATGTGGTTGCTCGAGGCGGCAAGCTCGAAAGTTTCGTGACTGACATGTTTTTTGCATGCTATGCCTCCTCATTCGAGCTAGATTCTGGGTGGTGGAGCCGGAGCCGGACGTAGGACCGAGGACTGAGGGGTTGTGACCTGAGGAGTCGGACAGTGTTGTAGGAGTAGTGGTAGTCGTCGTCGTCGGTTTAGTAGTTGTAGTAGTAGCAATAGTAATAGCAGCAAGTAGTAGTCATCGAGTCGTCGTCGTTGTAGTAGTAGTAGTAGTAGAAGCAGCGGTAGTAGTGGTGGTGTGTTTTCCTTCTTGTCCTTGTGTAAGCATGTGTATGGATGTATGTTGTCGTATGCAGCTATTTGTGCAGAAATCCCACTTGTTTGACTGTGGGTTTGCCGCATTAGTAAGGCTACAAATGCGGCTTCAAATAGATGCAAATAACCTACCTTCAATGGCCCCCAGACATCAAGTCTCTGAAGCGCACGCAGACGCTGGAATCCCGGAAGCGCTAACACTACTTGTTCATGCAGGGTTCTGAACTGCAGTTGAGGAAGGCCCGGGTTACATTGGAGTCGGAATAATTGCCACCACTATCCCTAGGGTCCCGCATTCTAACTATAGTACAATGGGCCCCAACACCCATCACTGACAATTGTGGCCGCTACATAATGGGGCTTGTTGTACAAGGCGTGCAAAACTTGCAAATTTGCCAACACTGTTCATTAGGATCCTGTTCTAATCTCGGAGCCCCGAAGGCCCATCTTAATCATTCAGGCCTATATTACGTGTGGAGGCCTGATGTTGTAGAAGGGAATCAGTAACAGTGTTCCCTTGTGGTCCCGGATGTAAGTATTAGCCCATTCCAATTATCAAGGCTGTATATTCATCATATGGAGTTTACAATATTCAATCCCAAACCCAAAACCCTAACAGTTATTGTGCTACTGACCTTAAGCCCCTTCAAGGCCCCCAAACATTCCTTTTGTAGCAGCCCTAAGACAAGTCCTACCCCGGAAAAATCCCATGAAACCTTGCTAAGCCCTAAAGCCCACAATCCACACCAAAAGTCTGATATTTTCAGCCGCAGTAGTCCGACACCCCAGATACTCCAAAGCACCCTTGACTAAGGGGTATGCTTTAAACGTAAACCATCCTAGACTCTAAACCCTATAATGCCGGAAAGTTGGCATCACCACAACTTTAAGACATAAATATACAGGAGAAATAAAGTCCAAAACACCAAAAAAAGTCTGGTAACCCAATCCCACAAAAAGCCCGGAGCACCCACAGGGGCGGCCTCCTGCTGGGATGCGGAGTTAGGCTCTTCAGGGTTCGTGGTTCAGGGTTTCCAGGGGTTTAGGGCTTCGGGCTTGGGGCTTAAACCCTGAAGCCTACTCCCTAAACATCCCTAAACCCTAAACCTCGTTTGGGGTTTGCAGCCTTCCTTTCTTTTCGGCCACCGTGATGTTTTGCTCGGGTGTACGAACAGGGGCCTAGTAGATAGTCGTAAGTAGAATATTTGATCGTAGGAATCATGGGATATGGGGTTTCGTAGGAATCATAGTAATGTTGCTGATAAGGAAGAAGGGAAAAAGTATTAGGTAAGCCATGTCTTGTCCGGGTGGGACATTGGCGAAAGGATTCGAACTCTGCTCAAGGGTTTATAATAAGAACCTACAAAAAGTAAGCTAGGGTAGTTTAAGGTAATATTCATATCTCCGTTCTTGGAAGGACTCCTCGAAGGCGTTCTTGAGCTTTCGGGTTTGAGGCCCAAGGCAAGGGCCAGATTTCCAAGGTGTTGCACAACGGTTTCAGGGTTTAGGGTTGGGTTTCAGAGTTTAACGGTACAGGTTTTGAGGCTGTAGAGCTTAGAGTCTTAGTCTCGGGATTTAGGTTTTGGATTTTAGGGCTTAGGGTTACGGGATGTTCAGGGTTTTAGGGTTCCAAGACGACAAGTCCGAAAAGTTGAGGGTTTGAAATAGGACAGTGCCCCTACAATAGCAGCTGGAGACTACTTCGGTTATGGGTATGCAAGGCCCTTGATAGTACCCTATAGTACCCTTAGTATAGACTGCTACTCTAAGGGGGCAGTACCCAAAGTTTAAGGGTTCAGAGTCTGGGGCCAAGGGTCTCAGGACTTGGCCATCCTCCTTCGTAACACGCAGCGCCCTACGGTTGATGATATAAATCCTGCATGACCCATAATAGGGAATATATGGGAATTATGGTATATTCCTTATTATGGGTAATGCAGGATTTATATCATCAACCGTAGTAGCACAACCGTGCAAGACTCTTGCAAGACGTTCCTGATGCCCAACCCAAACCTTACAGATTCAGCAAGCCCTTCATCCCCAGATGGCGCCCCAAAGCTTGAACCCCAAAACCCTACACCAGAGGCCTGAAACCCTCAAAGTCTACACACCCTCACCCCTAAACCCGAAAAAGAAAGCCCCAACCCCCAAACGAGCAACACAAACCATTCAGATTCCAATCCCTCGGACCCCAAGCCCTACACCCCCAGAACCCCACAGCCCACAATCCTAAACGATAGACCTTTACCCAGAAGGAGCCCGAAACCCCAAATCTTATACCCTCAAACACCAAAATCCTGGACTCTACAGCCTGAACTCCAAAACCGCAGACCCCAAAAAATCCTAAGCTCTGGGCACCTCTCCGCGGAGCCGATCGCAGAAAAGCTGGGCTACGTCGAGCCCCTGCTTCGCTGGGCCGAGGTGGCTTTAGGGCTAGGACTTGTCACGGTTCCGTAAAAGGGCTTCCTTAAAGGGTTCCCGCAAGGAGCTCTTCAAAAGGATTGCTGTTATTTTCAGTGTTTGTGGCTTCGTTTTGTTTTGTCTTGGATTGAGTTTCTTGGTTTTCGGGTTTAGCGGTTTAGGGTTTGGGTGTTGGAGGGTAGTGTTCGTCCCGGGTTAAGAGCTTTTTAGGTTCGACAAAGGTTAAGGGGTAAGGATTTCGGGTTTGTGTGATGGGGTTGGAGCAGGGTTAGATTTTTTTGGCACTGTCGCCGTTAATAGTGTGCATTAGCCTCGCCAAGGTCTGATGAATCATGGGGTCTGAATCATGAATCATCGTATTCCCTTACAACTATAGAGATACAGAAAACCCTGCTCTAATGATTCGGGTCCCCTTTGTCTAAGGAGCCAGGGAGGATGCTAATCCCAATTACAAAAGGAGCTAAAGAGCCAAGGGCAGTCCCAACACCGCTGGTGAGTTATGCAAGAGGGCTTGAGGTTAGCGACCCAGGTCTTGGCGCAGCGGGTGCAAAGACGCACTTACAGTGCCCAGAGGGCGGGCCCAGTAACCCCCAATTCAAGAGTATCCCTTACATCGAAATAAAGAAATCGATGCTAAAAAGCTGGGACATCAGTATCCTCGCGCCTTGCATGTAGCTTTGATTGAACTCCTTGATCACTAATCACCCTGTACGTTTCAAGCTTTCCCTGAACCAGAATCTTGACCATAAGCTCTAAACCCCAAACACCAGCAGCGACTCTTCCGTTTTGTCTGAATGTGCAGTAGACATTAACATCCTGCCGTCCGTTCTGTTGGCTCTGCTTGGGGGGTTACCCCGCATTCAGGCTCCAAACCCGAGGCCACAGACCATCAATTCATGCTCTTTACGGACTTCAGAGACCTTGAAGTATTGAGGACCCCTGTAAATTCAACGTATCGTGCCTAGATGAAGCGGTTTTGAAATCCCTGGGAAAAAGATTGATGGTGTAGGATTTCGAGATTTAGGGGTTTAGCCACGTCAGCAAAACCAAACTCGCGCGTGCTACGCTTGCCCAGCGGCTCCATACCTCTTCTCAGATCCCCAATACCCAACCTTTAAACTGTTTGGGTTCTCATATTTAAATAGGAACCGGAAAGTTTAACCTTTCATTTCAGTGGCTTATTCGGGGGGTAAGTCTTCGTCGAGCAATAGACCGTATCTCATATTATCAAGCACTCTACGCATTAAGGTATGTTGATATTTTCCTTCATCGAGGGGTACTTTGAGGTTCATGGGTAGTTATAAGTAGGGTTATAAGTCGGGTGACTCGAAGTATGGTTCTCTGTTAATCTGGGAGACTGTTGTACCACTCATAGCTACCCATGAACCTCTCAGTATGGTAAACCTTGGGACCCATGCCCCTAAACCCTAAACCCTAAGCCCTAAACCCCAAACCCTTAACCCTAAACCCCAAACCCTAAACCCCAAACCCTAAACCCCTAAACCCTAAACCCTAAACTCTAAGCCCTAAGCCCTAAACAGGCCAACGGCTATGCCAGTGCGTTCTTCAGCCACCAGGTCTCCGAGCTGCGCAGCCTCTTCAGGGTTTTGGGTTGCCGGGTTTACATAAGGGTTTAGGGTTTAGGGCTTAGGGCTTAGAGTTTAGGTTTAGGGTTTAGGGTTTAGTATTAACCTATTAGACGGCTCGTCCTTTTATTGTGGGACTGATGCTAGTGGATTGTCACAACAGCGAGACCCCCGTATTGGGATTTGTTCTTGGGGTATTTCGGCCGTGTCTTTAAGTAGTGAGGGGCATTGGGAGTGCATCGCTCATAGGGGCGCAATCCTTCCTGGCAAAAAGCAAACGGTTCCCCGTGCCGAACTTTTTGCGATCACGCAGCTCATCAAACACACTACCGGAGCCATGTCCCTCTGCAGCGACTCGCAGCTTAATTAATATGAAGCTGTTCCGCAAGCTGGTCGCTAAGCGTAGGGCTAAGAGTAGTTGGTCTAACCCTGATCTGTGGCTCCAGGTTCAAGAGGCCCTCGCGGATCGTTGGTTGAAGGGCTCATGGGTTCGCTCCCATCGCTCCCTGCCGGAGTTTGAATTAGAATTCGGCGCTGATTTGCGGTGGGTGTACATCGCCAACGAGCGTGCCGATAGTGCGGCTGGCAAGGTAAGTACGTGGTTGGACGCTAGGCATAACCTTCGCACTTGGGGTGACATTTTTCGTACTACTGATGCCCGTTGTTGGAACGTGCTTCGTTTCCTCACCAAGCTGATTCTCCAAGCACCACGACACCTCAAAACTTTTGGCCCTCGGGTCGACACGGGCGCTGAATTCTTAGCTCATCTTCCGCAGCTCCATCCCCAGCATAGCTGGCAGCACTTTTCTGGTGCTACCTTCTCGCGATGCGCCCTTTGTGGGCTTAAAGTCCACGGAAGCCGGCGGGGTCGGGGGCTCGCTGCGCTCCCATGCTGTCGAACCACCATGGATTGGGTTGGCCTTGGCCTTCATCCCTCGCATGAGTTAGACTTTCGGGATCCGGTTAAGGGTTGGCAGTGTCGGTATTGCAAGCTGGTCATACGGCTGCATGGAAGCGAGAGCTCCTGGCAACGACTGGCTAAGATGTGTCGTAGATCATAGTTTCATGGTCAGTACAGCTTTGCTGAGTTTTCTCTCAAAAAAAGAATATCCTACCTCATTAAGGACTTCTGTAGGGAGATCATAAAAAGGAACCCTAAACTGGTAGGTTCTTCAGGGATAGGGTTTGGGTTTAGGAGACCGTGAACCCTGAATCCCCCGAACCTTTGTCTTTAGTGCGATTGAGGTTTCATGGAAGGTGGTTTCTTGTGGTTGCGGCCAAACATACCAGCATACGAGAAAAATACGAAAACATACGAAAAAGTATACACCAAAATACCATTGGCATACGTAATAATACCATAAACATTCGAAAACATACCCTAGTCTCACCATGAACATCGATATCGTACTATGTCTTGCCGCGGATTCTACTGCTGCGAGGAGTCTGCTATTGTATTTATCCAAACGGCTCGGAAGCTAGCAGCTAGAATCCCAAACGGGGGTTTCCGAACATAGGGGACCCTACTATGGCACCTAGGATCCTTATTATAAGGACCCTCAAATAAGGTACCCCCTAATTTTCGGAAACCCTAAACCCTAAAGCCTTTATAGAACCCTTCTAGATCCCTTTAAGGAGCCCTTAAAGGATCCCCAAATAAGGTACCCCCCCCCCCTAATTTTCGGAAACTCCCAAATGCCAAACACAACATGTTGGTTTGGGGTTTGTTTGGGGTTTCGGATCTAGGGTCCAGGGTTTAGGGCTTAGGGTCTAGGGTTTAGGGGTTTGGGGTTTAGGGTCTACGGCTAAGGGGTTTAGGGTTTAGGGGTTAGGTGTTTAGGGTTTTAGGGGTTTAGGGGGTTTAGGGGTTTAGGCTGGTTTAGGCCCAATTTGCGGAAACTCCAAAGCCTAAACCCTCTATAGATCCCTTATAGATCCCTGTAAGGCACCCTTAAAGGATCCCTTCAAAGGTACCACAGTTTTCGGAAACTCCGATTTGGTCCCTATAAATCACATATTAGAGTTTATATTAAGAGCCTACAAAAAAGTAGGGTTTGGCAGGTCAAGGTAGGGTTTAGGCCCAATTTTCGGAAACCCTAAACCCTAAACCCTTTATAGAACCCTTCTAGATCCCTTTAAGGAGCCCTTAAAGGATCCCCCCCCCCCTAATTTTCGGAAACTCCCAAATGCCAAACACAACATGTTGGTTTGGGGTTTGTTTGGGGTTTCGGATCTAGGGTCCAGGGTTTAGGGCTTAGGGTCTAGGGTTTAGGGGTTTGGGGTTTAGGGTCTACGGCTAAGGGGTTTAGGGTTTAGGGGTTAGGTGTTTAGGGTTTTAGGGTTTAGGGGGTTTAGGGGTTTAGGCTGGTTTAGGCCCAATTTTCGGAAACTCCAAAGCCTAAACCCTCTATAGATCCCTTATAGATCCCTGTAAGGCACCCTTAAAGGATCCCTTCAAAGGTACCCCAGTTTTCGGAAACTCCGATTTGGTCCCTATAAATCACATATTAGAGTTTATATTAAGAGCCTACAAAAAAGTAGGGTTTGGCAGGTCAAGGTAGGGTTTAGGCCCAATTTTCGGAAACCCTAAACCCTAAACCCTTTATAGAACCCTTCTAGATCCCTTTAAGGAGCCCTTAAAGGATCCCCAAATAAGGTACCCCCCCCCCCCAGTTTTAAAGGACCCCTAAACCCCGAAACCCCTAGAGATCCCTTAAAGGAACCCTTAAGGATCCCTTTATATCGTTCCCTTTACGGAAACCCCGATGTGGTCCTGCAGGCCCTCTGCCAGTCGCCTGTGGACACCTGGGATCGCATTGTCCGCGGTAGCCCGGCGAGGTCCGGCGCTTTAAAGGGATCCTTTAAGGGTTCCTTAAAAGGGATCCATAAGGGTTCTATAAAGGATTTAGGGTTTAGGGTTTCAGCCCAGAGAGCCCAATACCCCTTAATTAAGGAATATACCTGAAATCATTAGGGGCTTCAGATTATGATTTAAGGTATATTCCTTAATTAAGGGGTATTGGGCTCTCTGGGTTTTTGGGTTGAAACATAATCTTGGCGTTCTTCTGGTTGGCTCTTAGGACTTTAAAATTTGGGGTTTCTATATGAACCATAATAAGGAGGCTAAAAGATGAGCTGTTAGGAGGGGTTCGGAAGACGGCCAAGTAATAATGTACTTGGAGGTTCATGGGTAGTTATACCTAGGATAACTCTACTTATAACCCATATTAAGGGACTTATAACCCCATTCATAATTACCCATGAACCTCCAAGTAGGGGACCTTACTAATTAGAATAAGGTTTTGGCCTTACTTAACTATACTAGAAAGGAGCCCAGGACCCTATTGTACATTAAGGCCCCTACATAGGTAGTATTCTTAGGGAGACCCTTAAAGGGTACGCCTTCTGAACCCTACTTCTGGCTCTCTTAAAGGGAGCCTTATTGAGAGGGTCTATATCCCCAAGGGTCCCCCTAATCCTAACTCCCACTACAATTACACAGGTTTGCAGGCCGGATGAGGAAGGAAGCTTCTAGGTTTATTGAGGGGTTTAGGTTTTTTAGTGTTTAGGGTTTGGGGTTTAGGGATTTCGGGCTTAATGAAGGTTTTGGGCTCAGGGTTTAGTTCAGGGTTGACTTCAACCCCGAGTCCCTGAGCCCGGAACAATAAGCCTTGCTTCGATAGAGCTTTAGAAGCCAATGTAACCCGAACGAACGCTTGTACGGGAGGTACGGTTGATGATATAAATCCTGCATTACCCATAATCAGGAATATACCATAATTCCCATATAGTCCCTATTATGGGTCATGCAGGATTTATATCATCAACCGTAGTTTGCTCAACTCCTGGATCAGGGTTTGGGCTTTAGGCTCAGTTCGTTACTACCTTTGTTAGCCTTGTATATACCTTTTCCACAATGACCCCGAAGCTAAGCTCTAAACACGAAACTCACAACCCGAAGTAGCTCCATGGTGCAGGCATGTGTCGGTGATGGTTGCCGCTGGGATGTTGAATGTCATGGAGGCTGCCCTCAAGTGCGCTTCCCAGCAGGCGAAGTAATGTTTGTATCAAGGGTTCTGGTCAGTGTATGTCGGCTCCCATGAAAACCAGTTGAGTGCACATGCTATGGTTTTCACAATGGGGGCTCTAATTAGTCAAAGCCCTGCATCAAGTCGGTTTCGGGCTTTGAGTTTGGGGTGAGTCTGGGGGTAAAAAAAATTTAAACCCTAAACCTGGGCTTCGGAGTACCATACTTTCATCCTTTCTTCAAAGGAGCCATTATGAAATACAAGTTTGTACTTGTTTCTCCCTGGTTCTTTAAAACGCCCAGAAGCATCCGAACCCCAAAAGCACTACAAAACCCGAGACCGCCAGTTCTACGGTTGATGATATAAATCCTGCATTACCCATACTAAGGAACATACCATAATTCCCATAGTTTAGGGTCATTAAGGTAATGCAGGATTTATATCATCAACCGTCGAATTCAGGATTTGGGTGTTTAGGCTCACGGTTGGGGGTCATGGTTGAGGCTTCTAGGCTTTTCGTGTTTAGGGCTTAGGCTTTACTGTTCTAGGGTTCAGGGTTGTGTGTTCTGGGCTGATCTGCTTCTGCCGGAGCCCGCAAAGGTGGCTCAGGGCCTGATGCAGGCTAATATAGGGGCCCAAATACTTACCAATACTGTCTTTTGCAGGGCTCCTTTTTAATGATTATATGATAATGGGCCCCAAAAAGCCCTATTCGAATAAGAAAGGCCCCTATATTAATATAGAAGCTTTAGTTGAAGCCCTAAACCTTCGTAGAATTCTTAAGGACCCGGTGCTACCTCGCCCCAAGCTTGAAAAATGAGACGGCCCAAGCACAGAATGGAATGTGAAGGTTGATCCGCGATTGCGGCTCGGATTTTGTGCATTTCTCATATTCGGGATGTACTCACTCTACGAAGCCATGCAAGCCCTAGGACCGTGTGGTAGAAGGCTATAATCTGTCCGCTTTGCTTCGGTGGTTGCTGGCAAAGGCAATCCGTAAAGCAAATAATCGTAATCTTACTAGTGATAACAAGCATGATAACGGAAACTACCGCGAACAACTCTATAAAGCCTCCTTCATTCAGGTTTCTGGAGTTTCTTCTCAACTTCATGCACTGAAACTATGACTTTTTATACTGGCACGATCCCCCAGTAGTCCCGTTTACTATAGGAGGTTGAGTACGCCCTGAGAGTGTCCGCTTATAGCACGAATCCTATTCTCTGCCCCAAAACCCTATTCCCATTCTGAATGCGCCCATACTTCCTCTTTTGGGAGGGGGGAGATTTCCTGCTTGGAACGGTTGATGATATAAATCCTGCATTACCTTAAGGTCCCTAATCTATGGGAATTATGGTATATTCCTTATTATGGGTAATGCAGGATTTATATCATCAACCGTTGTTAAGGGTCATTAAGTCAAGGCTCATGTTTTACTATGGATCACTTTTCTGCTAGCTTAAATGAAATTCCTTAACAAGCACCCTGAAAAATCACCGAACCCACCACCACGCGCAAACCCTGAGCCCTGTCAAGGCTCCATTCAGGGTTTCTTGCAGGGTTCTCTAACACCGAACCTCGAACCCAAAGTAGGGCCTTGACTAACTTGGCTTTTCTTTTCCTGCGCTTTGAGACCAGAGGTTTGGGGTTGCATAGTGTTCTTAAAGGGTTCGTAGGGCTTCGCAGGGTTTGCCTGAGGGCTTAGGGTTCATCAGCGGGGAAAAGGAGGGACCCTTAATGGGGACCCCTACCCTATAATGGGCTATATAATGGGTATATAATAGCTATATTAAGGGTATATACCTCGGGGTCCTTATTAAGGGTCCCTCCTTTTCCCCTTGGAGTTCAGGTGTAGGATAACCATGACGGGTATTCGGAGGGTCGCTCTTCTTTGACTCTTCTTCATCCTTCCACTGTTATTC